AAGCCAACGAAGCCAACAAAACCCACCAAAACCACAAAAGCTCCGAGGACAACGACAAATGCTGGCGGTGGTGGACTCCCCGGTGGACCGATTGGGAGAAAATAAATCTCATTTGATTTCTTGTTTTATGTACAATTCTTCTTTTTTTTTCTCTTCTGATTTACCTCAAATTCAAAATAAAATAAAATAAAATAGATAGATTTATCGTTTTTTGCTCAAAAAAAAGTTTTAAACTTTTAACCAAAAACCTCAAAAACCTTTAACCAGAAATCAAGTTTTACATTAATTTAGAACAAAATTTTACCTAATATTTTAATGCTTTTCGTGATTTTAAACAAAAATAATAGATCCACCTTGATTTAAAAGCTTTATTTTCGAATTTTTTGACTAAAAAAGTCAACAAAGCCAACAAAGCCAACTAAACCGACAAAGCCAACAAAGCCAACAAAGCCAACTAAACCGACAAAACCAACAAAGCCAACAAAGCCAACTAAACCGACAAAACCAATAAAGCCAACAAAGCCAACTAAACCAACAAAGCCAACAAAGCCAACTAAGGTGGAAGCTTTGTTTGTAGAGTTTATTTAGACCCACTTGCTTCCCGACGATCTGCTTCATGAACTTGATTCCAAATAATGTTAAGTTAAGTGGTTTTTATCATTTTCTATGGCAGAAGCTTTGTTTGTAGTTTTTTAGACCAATTGCTTCCCGACGATCTGCTTCATGAACTTGATACCAGCGAATGTTAATTTAAGTGCTTTTTATCATTTTCTATGGTGGAAGCTTTGTTTTTGTAACTTTTTAATTGAAAAAACGTTGAAACGTTGAAAAAAACGCAAAAAGTATAAAACGAAATGAAGAAGAATGAAAAAAATGAAATTTCGCGCAAATTGGAGGGGTACGGTAGTTTTACCACGCTTTAAAGCGCAAACCCAGGATTTTCTCGGAAAAAGGTCGCAAGTAATTCCGATGAAACATTCGAAAATCTGTTTACCAACCATTGATCCATTATTTGAAACCAAAAAACTTTCGAATTTGAGCGAAAAACTCAAAAATATTGTTGCCAGTTGTTTTTCACAAAAAGCTGAAAACAAAAAAGGGAAATTTTCAAATTTTATGTAAATCTTTAAGTCACATGGAAGCTGTTTTTGAAAAAAATTTTAAAATCTAATGACAATTCTAGAATAAAATCTTTCTGGCTAGTTTAAAATATCAAATTTTATCCGTTTTTTGGTTGAATGACGTCGAAAATTCCTTTTTTTCACATTTTTTCACTGAAATTGTTGGCTTTTGACCGTGATTTTCACAAAAAAAATTTATTCAAGATTAGCCCCCGTGATGCTTAAAATTTTGGCTTACCCCTGCACGCGAGTTTTACAGTTCTAGAGAGTTTTATTGACCACAACGAAACAAGAAAATGAGCACGTGAAAGCATGGAAAAGTGATGGGAATTTTAGTGAAGTTTGAGAAAGGTTTTTGAGGGACCAAAGCAAAAAAGGGATTCATTTTGAATGAACGTGCTTAAATTATCTTTTATTTGTAAAGAAATGAATCATACTTCATTTAAAAGGAAACATTTGGGTAAAGAAAGGCGCTCGAGTTGATTTGAATTGATTGACCTGATTTGAATTGATCTGTACCATCTGATCTGAATTGATCTGTACCACCGTTCTGTACCATCGACAAAGCTACACTCCATCAACACTTCACGCAAGTCTTCGGCCCATCACCTCCACTCGTAGGACCAATGCCAGCCCTGGTGCCGCCACAAGCCAAGCCAATCCCAGCCGGCGAGGCCGACCCATTCGCCACCGACTTCACCCCTGAAGAAGTGTGGAAACGCCTCGTCCGCTGCTCCAACACAGCTCCCGGCCCAGATGGCATTCGCTACGTGTCATGGAAGAAGTTCGACATCGGTGCACACATCCTTTCAACACTCTTCAACAGCTCTGGACTTAATAAATTCTGATTTATAAGAGAGATTTACTGGTAAAGAACAAGTTTTATTTAAAATAACCAAAACGAGATCAAAGACTCGTTTCATTTACCCAATTTTAATCGCGGCCGGGTGACGATAAAAAATTTTTTACGGCAACCACCTGTTTTTTTATTTTAATATCGCTGATTTTATTATAAAAAGAATAAAAATCACCCGGCTAGAGTGATTTGATGGGTTTACAAATTTTTGGAAACCCTGAAAGGCTTGGAGAAAAACAAGATCGTCACTCATCAGACACCTCAGCTAAAAGGCACCTATTTGAGAAAACTAAAACCACAAGCGACCACAAATGGAAAAAAGATCTAATTGTGTCAATCAAAGCGTTGAAGACGTCCTACGGTGGAGGAGATCCAGTCACTTCTGGTGAAGATGCGCTGGAAAGTGATAAGATAGGAAGCCGATTTGAGGAACTGCTGTACTTGAGCGAAGATGAAAGTGAGCAAGAGGAAGAATTATAGATTAACAATTTATTTTTATTGTTTTTTGTGCTTATTAAATTTATCTGCAATTAAAACTCAATCGATCTAGACTGTGCTGAGGTGTCTGATGAGTGCTGAGGTGATCTTGTTCTTCTCCAAGCCTTGCAGTGTCTCCAAAAATTTGTAAACCCATCAAATCACTCTAGCCGGGTAATTTTTATTCTTTTTATAATAAAATCAGCGATATTAAAATAAAAAAACAGGTGGTTGCCGTAAAAAATTTTTTATCGTCACCCGGCCGCGATTAAAATTGGGTAAATGAAACGAGTCTTTGATCTCGTTTTGGTTATTTTAAATAAAACTTGTTCTTTACCAGTAAATCTCTCTTATAAATCAGAATTTATCAAGTCCAGAGCTTCTAGATCAATTCAAATGTAAAGTCCAGAGCTTCTAGATCAATTCAAATCAGGCCAATCAATTCAAATCAACTCGAGCGCCTTCATTTACCCAAATGTTTCCTTCTAAATGAAATATGATTCATTTCCTTACAAATAAAAGATTAAATTAACCACGATCATTCAAAATGAACCCTTTTTTCTTTGGTCCCTCAAAAATCTTTCTCAAACTTCACTAAAATAAAATTTCCATCACTTTTCCATGCTTTCACATTTTTCATTTTTCTTTTGCTTCACGACGATCTGCTCCATTTTTCTTGTTCCGTTGTGGTCAATAAAACTCTCTAGAACTGTAAAACTCGCGTGCAGGGGTAAGCCAAAATTTTAAGCATCACGGGGGCTAATCTTGAATAAATTTTTTTGTGAAAATCACGGTCAAAAGCCAACAATTTCAGTGAAAAAATGTGAGAAAAAAAGGAATTTTCGACGTCATTCAACCAAAAAACGGATAAAATTTGATATTTTAAACTAGCCAGAAAGATTTTATTCTAGAATTGTCATTAGATTTTAAAATTTTTTTCAAAAACAGCTTCCATGTGACTTAAAGATTTAAATAAAATTTGAAAATTTCCCTTTTTTGTTTTCAGCTTTTTGTGAAAAACAACTGGCAACAATATTTTTGAGTTTTTCGATCAAATTCGAAAGTTTTTTGGTTTCAAATAATGGATCAATGGTTGGTAAACAGATTTTCGAATGTTTCATGGAACTACTTGCGACCTTTTTCCGAGAAAATCCTGGGTTTGCGCTTTAAAGCGTGGTAAAACTACCGTACCCCTCCAATTTGCGCGAAATTTCATTTTTTTTCATTCTTCTTCATTTCGTTTTATACTTTTTGCGTTTTTTTCAACGTTTCAACGTTTTTTCAATTAAAAGTTACAAAAACAAAGCTTCCGTCATAGAAAATGATAAAAACCACTTAACCTAACATTAGTTGGCATCAAGCTCGTGGAGCAGATCTAAAAGGAAGCAAGTGGATCTAAAAAGCCACAAAAACAAAGCTCCGGCCATAGAAAATGATAAAAAGCACTTAAATTAACATTCGCTGGTATCAAGTTCATGAAGCAGATCGTCGGGGTCTAAAAAACTACAAACAAAGCTTCTGCCATAGAAAATGATAAAAACCACTTAACTTAACATTAGTTGGTATCAAGTTCATTAAGCGGATCTAAAAGGAAGCAAGTGGGTCTAAAAAACTATAAACTAAGCTTCCGCCATAGAAAATGATAAAAACCATTATTTAATTTAAAATCATTAGCTGGCATCAAGTTCAGAGAGATTGTCAGAAGTGGCAGGTGAGTGTAGAAAAACTACAAACAAAAAGCTTTCCGCCATAGAAAATGATAAAAAACACTTAATTTAATATTAGTTTGCATCAAGTTCGTATGGAGCAGATTGTCTGGGAAGCAAGTGGGTCTAAAAAAATTCTACAAAACAAAGCTTCCGCCACGGAAAATGTTTTTAAAATACTGTAACTTAGCTTTATCCTTTTTGAGTTTCTGTAAAACAAACACGCTTCACATCCCCAAAAATTATATGTTTAAAATAAAATGTGGAAGAATGAAAAAAAATGAAATTTTTCTCATATAATTCAGAGGAGTACGGTGGTTTTTATCTGCTTTAAAGCGTCAACCCAGGATTTTCGAAAAAGGTCGCAAGTGATGGAATTTTCATTGAAACAAGTGTACTTTTTGTTCTAAAAACTCGATAAGTACTCTTTCTAAGGGATTGAATCATTTTCGTAGATTTATTCAAGAATTGAGTGCACGAAGGCAATTCTAGAGCAATTCTAGGGCAATTCTAGGGCAATTCTAGAGCAATTCTAGGGCAATTCTAGGGCAATTCTAGAGCAATTCTAGGGCAATTCTAGGGGCAATTCTAGAGCAATTCTGGAGCAATTCTAGAGCAAAAAAAAACCCCATTCCATAATTCCAAAAATATCTCAACACCATCTATGTGACGTGAAAGGAGTGGTCTTTTTTTTCTCAAAGAACACACACACACAAACACAGACATTCCAAGACACTCCCTGGATATTTTTCGATTCATCGACTCTTCAAATACCCTAATACCAACAAGCTTGATATAAAAGAGCTTTTTATTGGACGATATTCAAAAAGATATTCAACGATGAAAAGTCTTGTATTTCTTTGTTTCTTCGCTGTCTGCGCTGCGTATTTTCAATTGCCAAAAGATTGGGGACCAAAAAAGAAGAAAATGGCGTGTGAGGTAAATGAATGAAAGATATTGTAAAATGAGTTGTACAAGTCCAATCGAGAAGTTTTTGATAGAGAAATAAAGCCAAGATCCAGGGCTACAATTCTCTATATAACACTTGACACTTTCATAATAAGGCAGTCGTTTTTCAGCGACTTTTCCGTGTCATAATTGATTGAATTTAAACGATTGAAATTAAACGATTGAATTTAGAGCAACTTAGAGTCATTTAAGACTCTTGTAAAAGTCATTTAAGACTTTGTTTACTTGTAAAAGTCATTTAAGACTCTCTGTTTACTTGTAAAAGTCATTTAAGACTCTTTGTTTACTTGTAAAAGTCATTTAAGACTCTCTGCTTACTTGTAAAAGTCATTTAAGACTCTTTGTTTACTAGTAAAAGTCATTTAAGACTTTGTTTACTTGTAAAAGTCATTTAAGACTCTCTGCTTACTTGTAAAAGTCATTTAAGACTCTCTGTTTACTAGTAAAAGTCATTTAAGACTCTCTGCTTACTTGTAAAAGTCATTTAAGACTTTTTTAAGACTTTGTTTACTTGTAAAAGCTTGAACAAGAGTTCAACTAATGATAAAAAACAAAAGACTTTTATGATTCAAATTTAGAAATTGAAAAATAAATGTTTAAAATGTAGATTTACTATTTAAAAAAATCATTTCTAATAAAAAGATATTCAGTTGATAAATTTGGACTTTAAAAATGATTGAACAACTGATTGAATGATTGAACAACTGATTGAACAACTCTGTTAACCTATAAATATTATCAATCAAACAATTCTGAGATCACAATCGACCCAATAAACTTCAAGAATAAATATCTTTATTTCAAGGTTGAGATTCAGCCATAATCAGCCATAATCAGCCATACAAAATTCGCCAGAATTGTAGTGACAAGATATATTTCTGTTTTTAAGGCATTTTAAATAAACAACTATAAATGAACTATAAAATCGACAACTATTAGCATTTGAGAAGGCTTGCAAGCTTTTCGCGAAGGCGTGATGATCAAATAAACTGCTCTCGAGTTCTTCTCATACTTTCAACAATCATTTCTTCAAGCTTTCAATGTTTTTTTGGGGTTTTGAAAAAGCTTAAGCTTCTAGAGCATTGAAAAATTCATTGGATTGAGGTCTGGAGAGCTAGATGAGAAAGAAAAAGACTTAGAAAAAGAAATAAAGTCCGTGAATTTGTTTTGGCAGAACGCTTGGACTTTCTAGGATTTGTGCGCCATCTTGCTGCTAAGTCCAAACGCGATTTCGAAAATATTTACGAGTCTAGGGTAAGGGTTCATCCAGGAGAAGAGTAGTTATCGGAATTGATATGATATCACAGGTCTATAATATCACAGGTCTATAATAGCACAGGTCTATAATATCACAGGTCTATAATATCACAGGTCTATAATATCACAGGTCTATAATATCACAGGTCTATAATAGCACAGGTCTATGATATAACAGATCTATGATATAACAGATCTATAATATCATAGGTCCATAATATCATAGGTCTATGATGTCACAGATCTATAATATCACAGATCTATAATATCATAGATCTATAATATCACAGGTTTATGATATCATAGACCTGGGAAACCACAGGTCTATGATATCACAGATCTATAATATGATGTTGTGACAATTATAGTGCACCCTATACTTTCACAAAATCTTTATCTTTATAAGTAATGCTAAAAAAATTTTAGGATTATTGTGGTGGTGAGGAAAAATCGACAAGGATGGGTTTCGACTTCACGATGGCCGGCTGGGAGTTGTGCAGTTGCTCGATTTTTCCGAAAGAATCTTTATCGTATCGAGAGGCGATCGCAATCCATAGCAAGTAAGGCAAAAAAAAAAGAGAAAATTCATACAAATTTTCAGTTGGACGTCAACAGTCTGCTTTAAACAATGCGTTCGACGGTGTAGACGAACGAGGGGAAGATGTGCGGTCAACAGTCCGCACAATGAGCGCTACGCTGGGTGAGCATGAGCACTACATGAGCATGAGCACCTTAAAGTAGCTTTAAATCTGTTGGATTCAGACGATCTATAGCTCAAAAGATAGAGAATCTAAAGAGCTTTCAAATGGACAAAAACAGATTCAAAAATCTTAATTCTAAAGAAAGTTATGGTTGTTTGTAGCCATCGAGACTAAAACCACTATAACTTTTCTTAGCCTAAATATTTCTGAATGTGCTTTAGTTTATTCGAAAGCTCTTGAAATTCTCTATCTTTTTAGCTATAGAAGATGTTGATTTAAAAGATTTAAAGCAAATTTAAAGCAAATTCAAAGCGTTTAAAGTCTAGGTTTATAGTTTGGTTTTTAGAAACAAAGTTAAAACCAAATTTCCAGTCAATGTTGTACCCGAGCAAACACGAATTGGTCAATGATGGCTCAATGTTTCATAAATGGAACCGGTGCATGTCATCTTGATCGAAAATTGGCTACTGGAGCGAGCACGGTTCTCGGCATTAGTGTCGGAAGTTTTGGTGTCAATCAGGGTGGTTAAAAGGGAGAAATTTCTATCTAATAATCAATATTTATTGTCGATTTCTTGAATTTGAATAAAAGTTTATCATTTAAACGAAAAGAAGACTTTATACTGAGTAAAGAAGCATCTCTAAAGCTCTCTAAAGAAGCATTGTAGTGCCACTGGAGACAAACTGTCATCGCACTCACCTACAGGGTGATCAAGAATTCCCGCAACAACGTCGTATTATGTTATGAGCTTTATTTCACTTTTTGCTTATCTGTTTTTATGGTTTTTGTATATTTTTCTTATTTTATGATATGATTACTAACTTTCAATACATTAATATGGTTGTGTTGAGGAATTGTGAAAGCGTCTCCACATCGACCGCGTCTCTCCACATCGACCGCGTCTCTCCACATCGACCTCGTCTCTCCACATCGACCGCGTCTCTCCACATCGACCGCGTCTCTCCACATCGACCGCGTCTCTCCACATCGACCGCGTCTCTCCACATCGACAATCGATCCTGAGCCTGAGCCTGAGCCTGAGCCTGAGCCTGAGCCTGAGCCTGAGCCTAAGCCTCAAGCGGCAGCGTGTTCAGGCAAGCGAGATCTCAAAGCGCCCGAATGTCCCCAGAAGCCTCGTTTCTCGAAGCATTCAACGTTATGAAACTCTGGGCACAGTTTCTGATCGATCCAGGGATCTGATCGCCCTGGAAGAGGTGCAAAACGAACAGCGGTTACTCCGGCTTATGTCAAGAAAGTGCGCGATCGTCTAAGGTTAAACCCTAACCAATCGGCTCGAGGAATGGCAAGGAATGGCACAGAAAATGGGTCTGAAGAGAAGCTCCGTCAACACAATCATCAAGAAAAAGCTGAAAATGAAGCCGTACAAGAAGAACAAATCTCAATTACTATCAGCTGCTGAATTACCGCAACCACGTCGCATTATGTTATGAGCTCCATTTCACTTGTTGCTTATCTGTTTTTATGGTTTTTGTGTATTTTTCTTATTTTATCATATGATTAGAAACTTTCAATACATTAATATGCTTGTTTTCAGGAATTGTGAAAGCGTCTCCACATCGACAATCGATCCTTGAGCTCAAGTGGCAGCGTGTTCAAGCGAGCGGCGAGCATGAGCCCCATTTCACTTTTTGCTTATCTGTTTTTATGGTTTTTGTATATTTTTCTTACTTTATGATATGGTTGCTAACTTTCAATACATTAATATGGTTGTTTTGAGGAATGGTGAAAGCGTCTCCACATTGACAAGATGTGGACTCTGATGTAGACTCCGTGCTATCTTCTGTGCTATCTTCTAGCTAAACGCATGCCTTCTGGCACACTAAACTTTTCATTTTCTCTTTACAGCTTTGAGCAAAAAGGTAAATCGAATTTAAACTCGATCGATTTGCCAAAAGACTAGCGTTTTTCCAGAGCACAAAGTCCAGGAAAGCAGTTATTTTACAGTCAGTGTACTTTCAGTGCTTTCGGTACTTTCAGTGCTTTCAGTACTTTCAGTGCTTTCACTTTCAGTACTTTCAGTGCTTTCAGTGCTTTCACTTTCAGTACTTTCAGTACTTTCAGTGCTTTCAGTACTTTCAGTGCTTTCACTTTCAGTACTTTCAGTACTTTCAGTACTTTCAGTGCTTCCAGTACAACTCGATGACCAACTCGATGATCAAATTGATAAACTTTATTTAAAAATTGATTCTAAAAACAGTTCATTACAAAGTTCATATCTATTGGGTTGGGGAGAATGAGTCGGCGCCAAACTTTAAAGGGACTTTTTGCACACATAAAGCCTTCTTTAAACATACGTTTGGTTTCATCAAAAGGATCCACTATTTCTCTACAAAATCACTTTTGAGAGATTCCACAAAGCTTTTCTTTCGTGGAGTTTATGAACTTCCAAACGCAGCTGGTTAAAATGGCAAAGAGTCCGACTCATCATTTGAACAGTTTCTTTCACATAAACCTTCTTTGGTGTTTATATAAAAAAGATAGAGCACATTCAATTACTTAAGTTGCCAAATTTGCAGGAAGATCCCACCAATGGTTTTTTCTAGATCACAATTTGTAGTTTTTGTGAAAAAATGGCTTTTTCTTGAGCGGAGGCGCTGTTTGAATTTTCTTTTAAATGTGATTTTGTAGAGAATTAGTTAACCATTCTACTCATATCAAACGCATATTATTTGACGAAGTCGAATTGAAGTTTTAGACATTTTTTTCATTTTCGGCGCCGACTCATTCTCCCCAACCCAATAGTTTCAAGAGACAAGATTGCACTCTAATAGCTCTATTATTAGAACCATAGTACACTGTCGTTCTACTAATGTACAGTAGCAGAAATTCTTCTTTTTTCATGAATTTTCGTAAAATAAACATAAAAAGGAAACAAATGAACGGATGGAACCGAAAATTAGCACCTTCTACGGATATCAAACGCATATTATTTGACGAAGTCGAATAGAAGTTTTAGACATTTTTTTGATTTTCGGCGCCGACTCATTCTCCCCAACCCAATATTTACATTCAATTCTGAAACTATTAAGAATCAAAAGTCATTCAAAACACACGAGTCGGCTTTTTTTTTTTTGATGAAATTTTGATGAAATTTTGATGAAAACAAGTTGAAAAACTCGGAAAAACTGAAAAATTTGCAAATCAACGTGTTGGGCGGTGCTTGGCGAGAAATTTTCAACCATTTATAAAGCCAATTTTAAAGCTGAATTTAGTCAAACAACAAAAAGCTGATATTTTGGTATCATTTGACTTGAAAACCTTCATAAAAGCAAGCCTTTTATTACTCCAGTCATTCTTGAATCATTCCCAAACTTCTCTTCAGTATGAAACACTTCTTTGTCTTCTTTGTCTTCTCATTTTTTGTGCTTACGGCAGCCAACTTTAAATCATTGCCTGGAGGCGATCGAAGAAAACTGACAGCTGCTTGTGTTGTGGGTTTTCAATGATATTATTCGATACTAGTACTAGATCAGGCAAAGTATTGGCATTGATGGACTTGAGAAGCTAACTAGAAACTAGTAATCTAACTAGGAACTAGTAATTTAACTAGAAACTTAGCCAAATCAGTCAGATTGAACCTAGTGACTGTGAATGGATTGACTTAACCCTGGCTTAACCCTGGCTTAACCCTGGCTTAACCCTGGCTTAACCCTGGCTTAACCCTGGCTTAACCCTGGCTTAACCCTGGCTTAACCCTGGCTTAACCCTGGCTTAACCCTGACTTAACTCGACTCTAACTAGAGAATGTCAACTTAAGTCAGTTCTAACAAAAAGGATTTGACGGTAAGTGGATCCGAACCACGGTGACATTGCGTTGAATCAAGCCCGGCACACACGAGCACCGGATTCAACTTCAAAGGAAAGAATGAAAGCTATGCAATTGTCCAATTGTACAGCTTTCATTGTCCAATGGCACATCTATCCATTACACTACTGCAACTTTAGCTTCTCCGAGAAGCAAGAAAGCCTATATATTAGCTCTGAAATTCTGTATTAACGACCTAAACTTGTTTGCCAGATAACTAACGATATAGGGCTCCGTTCATGAAACTAAAATCACATTTGAAATCAGCGTTCAAAACTCTATCAGATAAACTAAGGTTGATTCAAAAATCGACTTAAAAAAGGCAAAAAAGCCATTCCCTAGTGAGACAAATAGAACTTGGCTCTGATCTAAAATCGGGTTTTATTCTGAAAACACTAACTCGTCTTTAAATGACAAATTTTTCAGGATTTCTGTAACGGTCAATCGCGATCAACGAGCACTGGATTCAACTTTAAAAGCAACGGATGGGAGCTATGCAATTGTCCAATTGCACAAGGATCACATCAGTAAGAAATGATATTCCTCCTCAAATCTAGATAAGATTACAAACTTTACAGATGGGCAAACTCTGGTTGCTGGCAAGAATGTGTTGATCGATGCGTTTCAACAAAGGGAAAATGTGCTGATCCGAAAAAAAGCAACAAGAAAAATCAAGGGTATTGGATCAGTTTGGACAATTTTAGCTTAAAAAAGCCTTGCTTCTAATCAAGTGTTTACTGGACGACATCTTACTGTACTGCAAGATGATCTACTGTACAGAGATTACAGTAATCTGTACAGTAATCTCTGCAAGGTAATCTCTGTAAGGTAATCTCTGTACAGTAATCTCTGTACAGTAATCTGTAAAGTAATCTGTAAAGTAATCTGTAAAGTATTACTTTACAGATTACTTTACAGATTACTGTACATCTCTCTGTACAATAATCTCTGTACAATAATCTCTGTACAATAATCTCTGTACAATAATCTCTGTACAATAATCTATGTACAGTAATCTGTAAAGTAATCTCTGTAAAGTAATCTCTGTAAAGTAATCTCTATACAGTAATCTATGTACAATAATCTATGTACAATAATCTATGTACAGTAATCTCTGTCCAGTAACCTCTCAATCTTCTCAATCTCAATTTAGCCCATGTTGCTCAACAGCTGACAACAATTCCACAATCGAAGAGCAATGTTATTCTACAGCAACTGGTCTTTGTTATTGCAATGGACAAAATGCACAATGTGGCGGTGGAGTGACAGTGATTGGAGGATTTGGAAGAAAATGATGAACTGATAAACTTGATTAATGGATGTACAATAAATTTCTTTGAACTTCTCAACAACAAAACATCGACTAGCTGAAATGTTAACAAGTTTCAACGTAATTTTTCTTCATTATCGGCCACCGTTTAAGTTAGAATGACAATGGGATGACAATTGGTTGACAATTTTCTGTGTAAGCGTGTAAGTATAATAGTGTACAAGGGAAATTGCCATCCCATTGTCATTCTAACCTAAACGGTGGCCGATAATGAAGGTAAACTACCTAAAGCTTATTATCATTTTATTTTTATAACATTTTCACATTTATATTCCAATTTTTAGGTTGATCAGTGGGCTATAAGAAAAATTAGAGTCATTTGAATTTAAAAAGCTTTTAATGGCTTTAATTTTTCGTATAGTTTTCTTAGCTAGCTAAAAATTGGAAGATAAATGTAAAAATGTTATAAAAATGAAATGATAAGAAGCTTTAAGTAGTCTGGCACATAGTTGAGTTAATCTGACTTCATGTAAAGCTGTACAGTAATCTTATTGTAAGCGCATCATTTTACATTTGTGTTCTGGGTTTTTAATGATAGTGAGAGTACAGGATTGACAGGATTGACAGGATTGACAGGATTGACAGTACAGGATTGACAGGATTGACAGGATTGGCAGTACAGCCTTGACAGGATTGACAGGACAGGATTGACAGGATTGACAGTACAGCTTTGACAGGATTGACAGTACAATCTTGACAGGATTGACAGGACAGTATTGACAGGATTGACAGTACAGGACTGAAAGGATTGAAAGTACAGCCTTGACAGGATTGGCAGTACAGGATTGACAGAATTGGCAGTACAGCTTTAAGTAATCTGGCACATAATCGAGTTAATCAGACTTCATGTAAAGCTGTACAGTAATCTTATTGTAAACTCGTTTTACCGTTTCTATTCTTGAAATACTGATTCTATAACTCTTTCATAAAATACCAAATAAATCTAGAATTTACAAATAACGAACTCAATTGTCTGACTTTTAAAAGCTATCAAGTAATAAAACTAAGGACTTGTCACGTTTTAGAAAACGAATTGTTCGAAGGGGAAGCTTTAGTTACAGTACCTACACCAAAAGTCAAACATCAACCAACTAAAGTCTATCAGTTTCTAAAGCTTTACAACTTTCCATTTTCCTATTTTCCCATAAACTGATGTGATGTAAACTTTGCCCACGCGATCGTATTTCTAAGGGTCAGTTAGAGGGAAAGTTTTGTTTTATGGGAGATTAGCTTTGCCGGTAAAACCGCACATAAAGTTTGACTTTGAAATGAGCCAAATTCAGCTATAAAAGGTTGGAAACACTGAAAGGGAATCATTTCCGATTAGCAAAATTCGAAAATGCAAAATTTCGTCGTCTTCTCATTGCTCGTCGGGGTTACGGTGGCTGGGTTCAAGCCGTTGCCTGGAGGAACTCCAAGCAAATTGACAGCTTCTTGTGTCGTGGGTTTTTAATGATATTGACAGGACAGGATTGACAGGATTGATAGGACAGGATTGACGGGATTGACAGTCTTGGCAGGACAATCTTGTCAGGATTGACAGCATAGTCTTGACAGTATTGATAGTACATTCTTGACAGTACAGTACTAGATCTAGCACTAGCATTAGTACTAGAACTTGGCTCAGATTTGATGGATTTCCTTCTGAAACAACAACAACAAAACATCGTCTTCAAATAGCAATCAATCTTTCAGGATTTCTGTAACGGTCAATCGCGATCAACGAGCACTGGATTCAACTTCCAAGACAATGGATGGGAGCTGTGCAATTGTCCAATTGCACAAGGAGCTCATCAGTAAGAAATAATATTCCTCTTCAAATCTAGATCAAGAATACAAACTTTACAGATGGGCAAACAGTGGTTGCTGGCGAGAATGTGTTGATCGATGCGTTTCATTAAAAGGAAAATGCGCTGATCCGAAAAAAAGCAATAAGAAAAATGAAGGGTATGGGTATAATGAAGTTATAGTTATAGTTAACAATCAAAAAATCTTCTAGCATCTTAACTCAGGCCAATCTTCTACCGTTTCAGTCCCTGTTGCTCAACAGCTGACAAGAATTCAACAATTCAAGCTCAATGTTATTCTACAGCATCTGGTCTCTGTTATTGTAATGGACAAAATGCACAATGTAGCGGTGGATCAGTGACAACAACGACAACGACACAAAATGCAGGCGGTGGACCAATTGGTGGACCAATTGGAAGAAAATAAGAGAAATTCAAACGTTTTAAACGATAAATATTGTTATAAAGATTGTAAAAAAGAGGTCGAAAAAGGTAAAAGACATGGAAAGTATTCGATTTAAAGAAAAGAATTCGATTTAAAAATAAAATACATGAAAAGTATTCTATTTATCTTTCTATTAGGTTGATGCAAAAGTCTTTTTCATTTTTTTTCGTACTTCTTTTGAAAAATAACAAAGTGATCAATTAACCTATGGTTTGCTCTAAATGAAAATTAATCAGAACTGGCTGGAATCAGAACTGGCTGGAATCAGAACTGGCTGGAATCAGAACTGGCTGGAATCAGAACTGGCTGGAATCAGAACTGGCTGGAATCAGAACTGGCTGGAATCAGAACTGGCTGGAATCAGAACTGGCTGGAATCAGAACTGGCTGGAATCAGAACTGGCTGGAATCAGAACTGGCTGGAATCAGAACTGGCTCACAAATCTCAATGAGCTCACAGATCCAGAAGTCAAGTCTTTTCCAATTTTCCAAGAAATCTTAACCTTTTTGAGAAACTAAAAAGGGTTACTCGTTACTTGTATTTGTAAGGGAAATTCGCATATTCTTATGCATGTACCTAATATTTCAACTTTTGTTGTTGACAACTTGTCTTGTCTTGAATGTGAGCAAAACAACGAAATCTTCTCGATACAAAAAATAATTTACTTTAGTGGAAAAATGCAGTCTTATACAGTCTTATACAGCGCTTTTCACATCTAGTGCTCCGCCCAAGAAGTGTGATGTATCTTAGAAGGGAACCGGGGGGGAAGAGCGGTGACAATCGTTGCCTATTCTCACTTCAAACACTTTATAGCCTATTTTGTAGAGGAGATTTACAACTTTCAAATAGTTTATAATATTCATCGATATCTGGTTTGTATCGTTAGAAATTGATGAAAATGTTGAAATCCGCATTTCTTATGCATGTACCTAATGATGCAAAAGTCTTTTTCATTTTTTTCGTACTTCTTTTGAAAAATAACAAAGTGATCAATTAACCTATGGTTTGCTCTAAATGAAAAGTGTTTATTGTTGAATTTCCCATCTTTTTAAGTCAATTTGGGTTCACTTTCAAGCAAATTCGAGAGTGAAAACGGGTTTTTCATAAAAATCTATCAAAAAACCTCTATAAAGAAATTGGCTGAATCAATTTCTCTGAAAATCTGAAAAAAAATATCGAACTTTTTGTGCTCTATCTTTTATTTATTAAAATCAAGATTGGTTTCCTTAGCTAAAGCGTCGAAAATGCATCATCGAGCTTTGGCTTATTGATTTCAGTATGTATTGTATGATTAAGTATCATGATTAAGTATCCGCTTATCAGAACCTATCGATGTGGGGTTGGAAAATGTAGCTGACGATGAGATCTAGTGGGGGATTGGAGATTTCTTTATGATTTCTTTCACTTTATCGTTTGAATAAAGTATTATTATCGAGCCGTCGCCTTTTTTGACTACCCGACTTCAGGCTCTCGAAAAAATCTAGACACAAGACATTTTAAACTCGTTTTAATGTCATTTTGCAGAAAAATAATTGGCCTTTCGAATGCAATAAACCGTTGTTCAATTGGTGCATTTGTTACTTTTTAACGGAAGTACGAAAAAAATGAAAAAGACTTTTGCATCAACCTAATATTTATTCTAAGACATGAAAAGTATTCTATAAAGTATTCTATATTCTATTTATCTCATTTTTCACTAATGAAATCAATCTTTATAAAGTTTTTGATTAATTTTAAACTCTGGTAACTCTGGTAACTCTGGTAACTCTGGTAACTCTGGTAAATCATTTATCCATTTAGATCTGTTCTAATTCTTGTCGTTTATGCTAATTTCAATCATTAAACATCTTTTTAACGCTATTTTTTTGTTGTTGATCAAAAGTAAAATCGGCTTTAAAAAGTCGCTTTTCAGTCAAAATCATTGAAAATTATAAAGAAATCGGTTATAAAAGTGATTTAAAGTTTAGAGAATACAAGAATTCTTTACTACAGTATGCACAAATTCATGTTATTCTCGTTGTTGATGACGGTCATGGGGTTTACACCGCTGCCAAACCGATGAAGTAAACAAGTAGTGGACCTCTGCATGCATTGGAAGCTTTGGCGGATTAAAAGAAGCCATGATTTGAATGTTCTGCTTTTCAATTTTAACATAATGCTAACTGATATGGAAAGAAATGAATCGAATTTGAATTCAAACCAAGAATTAACTCTAGAGCTTGCTTGGCTACTGATCCAGCTGTAGATGGTTGTGGATCCAGCTGTAAATAGCTGTAGACAGCTGTAGATAGATGTAGATAGCTGTAGACAGCTGTAGAAACCACACTGACTAATCATTGATCCGTTCTGGGCAAGGATTACGGTAGCCTAGCACGTTTAGGGATAGCCGATGCTTGTATTGGTTTGCCTTGGCCTTGCCTGAACAAGTTAGAAGTCATGAATCTGGCTCTGGTTTGGTCTATAGATCAAAGTCTTGATGGTCTATAGACCAAAGTCTGTAGATCATCAAGTCTTTCTGCAAGCAATCGTTTTAGAACACTTTTGTTTGAGATGGGAAAACTCTGGTTGTTGGAAACAGTGTTTGGCACGTTGTTTCGTGACTGATCGACGATGTGCTTTCAACAAAGTATCCAATAAGCTATACAAAGGGTAAGAAAAAGTTGACTTATCCAGTGGCTAAAATCATTTCCTTTGTCGCTCCAGCAAATGTTGCTCAACAGCGAACAAAAACAACAAGAAAGCTCAATGTTACTCGACAGCAACTGGAGTCTCTGTTATTGTAATGGACAGAATGCTCAATGTGGAGTGACAGTCAAATTGACGACAACAACAATTGGAGCTTTTGGAGGACTGGAAGGAGTTGAAGGAGGTGGAGGACTTGAAGGACTTGAAGGAGTTGAAGGACTTGAAGGACTTGAAGGCTTTTGATGGAAAGAGATGAGAGATTTGATTTGAGTTAATAAATCGTTGACAAGGGTTATTGAAAAGATTACTCATCGATATTTATCTAGAAAATCGGATACGAGCAAATCCCTTTGTAGCCAGTTCTTCCATTTTGTCGAAAATTCTCAACCCCAACCCAGAATCCATTCGGGTTCATCTAGATTTCAATTTTAATTTCAATTTGAGTCGTTTTCTTTCTCTAAAACTTACAAAAATTAAACCCAATTGATACGCGGGGACAGTGTTATTGATGAACTTTGAATAGGGATTGATTCCATCTGTTGATAGACATTGTTCATTTATCACATTCCAGCCTTCATTCGTATACTGGAAAATAAAGAAAATAAAGAAAATAAAGAAATAAAGAAAATAGAAAATAGAAAATAGATAAAACTCATAAATTCACCCAAATTTTTCCACAAATCATCACATTTTCTCGTTGATTTTTTGGCGTTTTCAAGTCATCATAGATTTTGGTGAGAAACTCTGAAATTTTAATGATTATGATAAGATTGATGAAGCTTTAAAGAAGAGTTTTTTTTGAGATTAACTATGGAAAGACATGAACTAAAGATAAGCTTTTATTTGTCGACTTTATAGAATCGGCTATGAACAATCCGAATCTCAAATCAAAATCTCCCAAATGACTTTCCAGGGGTGGAAAAATTCAATCGAAAATTTGACTTAAGGCTTTAAATGCTTTGAATGCTTTGAATGCTTTAACTGCTTTAAATGCTTTAAATGCTTTGAATGATTTAAATGCTTTGAATGCTTTAACTGCTTTAACTGCTTTAAATGCTTTAACTGCTTTAAATCCTTTAAATCCTTTAAATCCTTTAACTGCTTTAAATGCTTTAAAAGGCTTCTTTCCTTTAAAAGGGTTATTCCTTAAATGGAACAACGTTGATAGACATTGTTGATTTATGACACTCCAGCATCAACGTGCTTGGATGGCGTGGTGGATAGGACATTAAGTTTCCGGCCGCGGGATCTTGCTTCGATCCGCAATGCATTTTTTCTTTTGCAGCTAATTGCAAAATGTGGCTTGTAAAGTAAGCGTAATTTATTTATTTATTTAGTTGTTTAGTTATTTAGCTATTTAGTCATTTAGTTGTTTAGTTATTTAGTTAGTTAGTTAGTTATTTAATCATTTAGTTGTTTAGTTATTTGTTTATTTATTTATTTAGTTGTTTAGTTATTTTTTTAGTTGTTTAGTTATTTATTTATTTAGTTAGCTAGTCATTTAGTTAGCTAGTCATTTAGTTGTTTAGTTATTTATTTAGTTAATTAGTTATTTACTTGATTAGTTAGTTACCTATTTAGTCATTTAGTTGTTTAGTTATTTATTTAGTTGTTTAGTTATTTAGTTAGTTATTTATTTAGTTAATTCCTTTGGAGTTTTCAAGTGATCATAGATCATAGACTCTGTAACTTTATCTACTAATAAAATGGCTGAAGATTTAAAGAAGAGTTATTTAGTTGTTGAGTTATTTAGTTATTTAGTTATTTAGCTATTTCCTAGTAGAGAAAAGTTGCGTTGGTAGCCTAGTGGATTATGCAATCTCCTAATCACTAACTAAGATTAACTATTATTAACTATTAATTAGGTTCCGGCTTCGAATAAGGCTTCCGGCGACAGGATCGCGGTTCGGTCATCGCTCCAATTTTTCTTTTTCTTCTTCTTTTTCTTTTCTAGCATTTTGCAATTGCAAATGGGTTATAAAGTCGGAATATTTCAAAATAAGCTACAAAAGCTACAAAAGTCGTGTTATACTAATGCGCAAATTCGTATTTTGATGAATAAACGAACCTTGAACAATTTGATTCATATATTTATCCGTTATATGGACTAGAAACGACGTTTCACAATGATAAATCGGATCCTCGCCATCATTGAAGTATAAATCCTCTAACTAAAAATTGTTCTATCACCAAAAATCAAAAGAAAATCGTTACAGATAGACAAAATCCTTTGAAATATTGACCACCGAAACAGGTCTTCTAAAATTTGCACTTATTTTGGCTTATTTGGCTTATTTGGCTTTTTTGGCTTCTTTTGACTTACTTATTGACGAATTTTAACAAAAAAACTTACTTTTAGACTAACTAAATGAAAAATTATTAAAAATAGAAAAATGATAAAGAATTTCATTTTTAAATGGCTTTTTAAAACATTTTCCTTTTCATTTACCTTTATATAGTTGAAATTCAAACGAAAAAAAGCATTTTATGATTCATTTTTATGATTCATAAGTCATTCTTTTGAATCTATTGAACTTGTTGAAGTTCGGGGAGAATTTTCAGAAAGTTTCCTTTCTTCTCATCGATCATCTCTTCGAGTTTTTTCTACTACTAAAAGCTTTTTCAAATATGAAACCCAGTCCCCCCGAAAGCCCTTATTTTAAGGTTCATTTTGACACTAAATATGACTAGATTCTTTTTTCTCATTCTTTAGATTTCAATCATTGATTGAATAGGGATTGATTCCATCTGTTGATAGACATTATTCATTTAAATATTCAGAATATAAAGATATTCAAAAATGAAACCCAGTCCCCCCGAAAGCCTTTGTTTTAAGCTTCATTTTGATACTAGACATGACTAGGTTCTGTTTTGTGATTCTTTAGATTTCGATCAATCTTTCGCCAGACTCGATAAGCTTAAAAAGTCCAGAAAAATTTTTTGATTTAAAATCATCAAAATCTAAAGAATCACAAAACAGAATCTAGTCATGTCTAGTATCAAAATGAAGCTTAAAACAAAGGCTTTCGGGGGGACAGGGTTTCATTTTTGAATATCTTTATATTCTGAATATTTAAATGAATAATGTCTATCAACAGATGGAATCAATCCCTATGCAATCAATGATTGAAATCTAAAGAATGACAAGACAGAACTTAGTGATGTTTAGTATCAAAATGAAGCTTATAATAAGGGCTTTCGGGGGAACTAGGTTTCATATTTGAAAAAGCTTTTAGTAGTAAGAAAAATCGAAGAGCGAGGCAGAGTGTCTGAAAATTGTTGTCCAAGCACGCCTACATTCAACGTTTAAAAATATTGAGAATATGAAGATATTCAAATATGAAACCCAGTCCCCGCGAAAGCCCTTATTTTAAGCTTCATTTTGATACTAAACATGACTAGATTCTGTTTTGTGATTCTTTAGATTTCAATCATTGATTGAATAGGGATTGATTCCGTCTGTTGATAGACATTGTTCATTTAAACATTCAGAATATAAAGATATTCAAATATGAAACCTAGTCCCCCCGAAAGCCCTTATTTTAAGCTTCATTTTGATACTAAACATGACTAGATTCTGCTTTGTGATTCTTTAGATTTTGATGATTTTAAATCAAAAAAATTTTCTGGACTTTTTAAGCTTATCGAGTCTGGCGAAAGATTGATCGAAATCTAAAGAATCACAAAACAGAACCTAGTCATGTTTAGTATCAAAATGAAGTTTAAAATAAGGGCTTGCGGGGGGACTAGGTTTCATATTTGAATTTGCATAGAGAGGAAATCGAAGGGAGCACTTTCAAGCACATTTGTACCATTCTGAAGAGTCACCACCGTTCCCATCATGAGCCTTGACTTGTGTTTCGGGTCGTTGCCCTGGCAGAGCATTCATCCAAGAGGCATCGTCTGTGTGGCAAAAGGCAGCATTTACAGTGGTCCACAAAAGTGTTGTCCCATTGCCATCCAAAAGTTTGTTTCGTAAGAAAATCTTGCAAAAACAACATCTCAGAAATAGAGTAGGGGCTTTTTGCTTCACCAAAATTTAAATACACTCATCTAGAACAATTTTTGAACAACAAATCTGCATACAAGAAAAAATTAGCATGGAAAGAAAATTACTACTCGAGTAAACATTCTCGATGGAAGGGATTTTCAAAATTTTATTCTGACCATTTATTTTCCTTAATTCATTTATCTTTTTCTCAATTGTTAAGCCGCTTTGTATTGTTACCCTTGTAGATAAAACTTAACTCAAAAGTCCCCAGAAGCAGCACCAATTCTCATTGAGAGCGGCGACCACAACATGTCAAAAGCTTTCTAATGAATTTGAGAAAGTTCTTGTCAAAACATTTCTTTAACGTGAACGAGAAAATCGAAGAGAGCACTTTCAAGCACATACAGTGGTTTGGCTGTGGTTTGGCTGTGGTTTGGCTGTGGTTTGGCTGTGGTTTGGCTGTGGTTTGGCTGTGGTTTGGCTGTGGTTTGGCTAAAATTAACTCACCTAGGGTCAATTTAAATTACCTAAATTGTCTCAAATACAGTGATCCACAAAAGTAATGCCCCATTGCCATCCAAAAGTTTGTTTCGCAAGAAAATCTTGCAAAAACAACATTCTCGATGGAAGGGTTTTTCAAAATTTTATTCTGACCATTTATTTTTCTTAATTCATTTATCTTTTTCTCAATTGTTAGGCCGTTTTGTATTGTTTTGTATATACCATCGTTATCATATATAAAAACTTTTCATTTCCAGTGTCCAGTTTCAATTTTTCAATTCCAGTGTCTTCCAGACAAGTCAGATACTCTAATTCACCACATCAGAAACTGGCGAGGCAATTTTATTTGTTTCCGACTTTTGATGGTGTTTCTCCCTTATGTAGAAAGCCGAAAAAAAAGAGAACACTTCCCGAGGTGCTGGTATTTTCTCTTTATGAAATAACGGTGTTCTCAAAGATTTTCAAAACAGCGCTTCATAAATTTTTGATGCGAACCGTTCTTATTTAGGAACGTCTAGTCATTCGGGTTCATCTAGATTTCAATTTTGATTTCAATTTGAGTCGTTTTCTTTCTCGGTAAAACTTTCAAACTCAAAAGTCCCCAGAAGCAGCACCAATTCTCATTGAGAGCGGCGACCACAACATGTCAAAAGCTTTCTAATGAATTTGAGAAAGTTCTTGTCAACCATTTCTTTAACGTGAACGAGAAAATCGAAGAGAGCACTTTCAAGCACATACAGTGGTCCACAAAAGTAATGCCCCTTATGTAGAAAGCTGAAAAAAAAGAGAACGCCTCCCGAGGTGTTGGTATTTTCTCTTTATGAAATAACGGTGTTCTCAAAGATTTTCAAAACAGCGCTTCATAAATTTTTGATGCGAACCGTTCTTATTTAGGAACGTCTAGTCAAAATAAGAAAGGTCTTCTTAAATTTTGTGTTAACGGGTTCAGATTGCCCGAAAAAAAGCAAAGGTCCGCCGGTGTGCTTAATTTTTTCGCCAACAAAAATTGGCGAACACTCAACTTTTTCTTTTGGAGTAGCGTTTCTTATAGAAAAATTCATTATTAACCATTAATTAGCTTCCGGCTTAGGCTACCGGCGACAGGATCGCGGTCATCGTTCGGTCATCGATCCAGTTTTATTCAGTTCTACTTGATCAATCTCAAAAATGAAAGGTAGAAATTCATGTAGAATTTCTAGCTCTCTAAATTTGGTTCCTTATCTCTCTAAATTTGGTTCAACAGCACTGTAGAGTGGTACATCGCCAAGTGGTACATCGCCAAGTGGTACATCGCCAAGTGGTACAGCACCAAGTGGTACATCGCCAAGTGGTACAGCACCAAGTGGTACAGCGCCAAGTGGTACAGCGCCAAGTGGTACAGCGTCAAGTGGTACAGCGTCAAGTGGTACAGCGCCAAGTGGTACAGCGCTCGTTTCCAGACTGAGACCTCGACGGTTCGACGAAATTTGGTTCCTTATCTCTCTAAACTTCGTTCCTTTTCTCTAGATCTGGTTCCTTATCTCTCTAAATTTGGTTCTACAAATGTAGAAATTCATCAAGCTTTTAGAATTTTACCTTTGTCTTTGTCTTTTAAATCAACTTTAAAGCCAATAATAGCACTGTAGTGGTTTAAAGGAGCTTTAAAGGAGCTTTAAAGGAACTAAATAGGAACTATAAAGGAACTATAAAGGAGATCAAATTGCTCATGACACATCCCGTAATCTCCCAATCTCCAATCCAATATTGGTACTTACTTTTTCTTACAAATATTAATCTAAATACGCAATTCTGTTTTATGAATATTGGATAAAATATTCATAAATTTTTTTCCTTCCCGAGCAAGCGAGATATTAAAAATATGGAAAGTTATTAAATTTCTCAATGATTTTTTTCGTTTTTATGGTTTCTTTGAGGCGCAATATCGCTCTAATAACTCAATTTGTGGCAGAAAACAGAAATTTTTTACGTAATACTTCTTTGATATTTAAAGATTAGACATTTCTGAGATCTTCATTTCAGATTTTTGATCCAGATTTATGATTTTCCAGTCCAGATCCAGTTTACGATCTTTCAAGGGTCTTTGGGGTATTCCTCAGGTCTATCCGTTCCTACACTACTGGACAATGAAATATGATATTTGAAAAACGATCGTCACTTTCCCATGTCTGTAAATCCCTTGTCTTTACCGTATTTCTAAATATTAATATTACCATTGTGTAGCCCTCGAAAAGAGCTTTCAGAAAATGTATAACACTAATAGTTTAAACTCAAAGACAACGGAGTTACAGACGCGCGAAAGTGACGATCGTTTTTCAAATATCATATTTCATTGTCCAGTACTGTAGGTGAGAGTTTTATCTGAACGAGTCTAAGAGCGAGACTAGGACTCAACCAAATAGATATCAGTTGGTTAAGGATTACGGTAGTTGAAAGTCACGAAATCCTGGCTATCCGAAAAATAAAGGAAAAGCTAAGGTGTATACGTTCCTAGGTATAAACGGATGTGGACTAGAATTTGGGTTAAGTTACAGAGAGTGGATCCCTTTTGATATCCCGCCATCTCTAACACCCCGACAACCCAACTCAACTCCTCCACGGTTTAGAGGGGAGTCCCTGTGAAATGACCGACCTGAACTGCAGTTGCATAGACCCGGAAGATATGTATCTTTATTTACAGTAGTATAATAAGACGAATAGATTACAAATAAGGGGAAGGGGGGACTCTAAATGTCCTCCTAGGCAAGCCTTGTCCTCCTAGGCAATCCCAAGGACCTCCCCTTCTCGGCAATAAAAGGGATAAGCACAGGGTCCTCACATTTGCATAAGAATAGACAAATCATTCAATAATAACAATAGTAACTAAAATATTAGTTTGTCTCGGAACTGACAGGTCAAACTTGTCACAAAATCTCGAATTTATAGCTGGATACTGTAGTGTTCTGAAAATTCGCACAATTCTACAGTGCTCTTGTGTACTTTGAGTTCCTCGGTAAACGCCCCGCTCACTGGGACCCAGAGAAACCGCCCGCCTGTGTGTCAGAAGGCGAGTGTTTAACAGGACACAAAGTACGCTGGCTAATTTGGCTACACAGATTTGGCTAATTTGGCTACACTGTGTTATTTATAGCATAGATATTTCAATTTCCAGACGACCGCTACCGTAATCCCCAAATGTTGCCCTTTATTTTCGTCTTGATCTTATTTCAATCGCTCCATGCGCAGTCGACGCTCCCTTTGCCACCAACAACTGTATTCCCAAATACAACGGTACTTTTTGAGCAAGGTTACGGTAGCTTTCTGAGTGAAATTACACGGCAACTTTCAGCGGACTCTTTAGATAACAACAAGCACGAGCACAACTTCATTATTCTCTTCAACCACCCCGACAATACTCACCGATTTCCCAGCACCAACAATCACAACTTCCCCAAAAAGCGAAATAACGACTTTTGTGGTCGGAATGATTGGTAAGTGATAAAGAAATCTGTTCCAAAAAAATCTAGATGATTTGGGATGATTGGTAAGTGATAAAGAAACCTATTCCAAAGATATCTAGACAATTAAATAGAACCGATGCTCCATTTGCACAAAGAAATCCATTTCCACGAATTTTCCATTATTTTCACACCCATTCATTCAAATTCAAATCGAGCATCGGTTCTATTTAATTGTCCGCCACTGTAGATCCAAAATAAATAGCAAAATACTTAATCGAAGTGACAAGTTTGACCCAATAGAAGCTTAGTACCTGATTGCAAGGGAAATTTGCCACTGATGCCACTGCTGATGCAAGACAAATGATAAAGAATGCAATTCTTTTTCAGGAAACGCCTTACATATCCTTAAAGGCTGAAAACTCGGGATAAACTCGGTCTACTAAGCTGAATATCCATACCGTAAATACTGTAATAGTACCCCACCCCCATAATGACTGTGCGGAGTGTTGTGTAGTCTAGCTTTGGATGCGTTGTTCTCGACACTGGTTTATGCTACAATGCTCGTTTAGGTATCAAAAAATAGCCCTGAATTTCAGCTATTTTTTGATACCTAAACGCGCATTGTAGCATAAACGAGTGTCGAGAAAAACGCGTTCTAAGCTAGACGATGCAACGCTCCGCACCGTCATTATGGGGATGGCCCTGAAATCAAAAAATAGCCCTGAATTTCAGCTATTTTTTGATACCAAAGACGCATTTTTTGAAAGTACGGGCGCTTTGAAAAACAATGAAATACTAAAAAACTTTTGCGACTACGCGACTGTACGAGGGCGGTGGGGTACTATTACAGTATTTACGGTATTTACGGTAGTTGTTACTTTTAATAGAGATTGCGTTTCTATTGGAATAAATACGGTATATATTTTTTCTTCATAGAATGGGTGATTGCAAAGATGAATGAGAAATTGTTGGGGGGGGGGGAATGACTCAGTCCTATTCAGTCACCGGAATCCGGCAAGCGAATAATAGTTTCTCGATCACCGGCGGAGTGATCCCATTGGCTCTTCAGCCGATAAAGACCTTCATTTGTTGGATTCAATAGAGTTTGGTGGAGTTAGAAAATTTTAAATATAAACTATACGATTTTGCCGTTTTGTTGTCAATTACACCGATTGCAGCGAGGCCAAACGTCTCCGGTTTAGTGGGTTTCCGCTCTGCCAGATAGAATGGTGGACGTGATTTTGGGACCCGCTTGTAGCTCAAGGTAAAATCATAAGCGATTTTTTAAAGAATCTCATTTTTCAGGAATCATCCCAGCCGCTTTCCTCAGCAGCTATTATCAGGTTCCGCATGAGTGGGTGGCTCCTGATAAATTTAGCACCAAAGTATCCAGAATTGCCTTGTCTCTGCAAAGGCTATACCAATTAGGATAGGCTAACACAGCCAGGACACTTCTGGATGCCTAGCTAGCTTCCAGAATATTTTTTCTTTAAAGCTAACTCGATTCGAAATGATGGTTGGAAACAATCCATGGATAACTAATGGATAACTTTGCAAAATCCATGGATAACTTTGCAAAATCCATGGATAACTTTGCAGATCGCTTGGGGTTTCTCTTCGGCGGCCACCCTCGCCGATTCTGCGCGCTTTCCATTTATGACAACGGTCTCATCGAATTATGTTAGTAGCGGATCAGAACGATTTTTCTTTCTAATGCTTCATTTCAGGCTCGGCTGTCACCTTTGTTTCTTTGGCCGCCAGTTCTTACAGTTGATAACTTTTGTTGGTTTTTCCTTTACAAAAAAACGGGGAGATCATGGTCTTGTATTACACTAATGCCGGCTACGGAATTGTTTAAACCTGATGGGGGACGTTACGGTTGGTTTTGAGTCATCTTTAAGCTCATGAAAGTTGAATCTGGAACGCACAGAAAGTGATATCTGACCTAGTATCCGACATAGCTTTACGTGCAGATTTTTCTTCCAATTGTTCTTCCAATTGTTCCAATCTACAACACCCTACCGTACTCTAATATTTTCAGACGGCTTTCTCCTGATCTACCTCCAACTCGACCATCATCGCCGCCACTGAGGAGAATTTCGACATCGGCTCAACGGAAGCCTCGATGATTACAACGTTGAAGAAAAGTCAAATCGAGAGCCAGAGTACTGGATTTGAATCTTTTTTAAAGAAATGCCGCTAGGAGTGCCTGTAGGTTGTCCAGCTTTTAGAAAATAAAAATCAAAGCATAGTTTTTAGCACTGATGTCCAGTTTTTAAGAATACCTAAAAATGAGATTTTTCTTTATTTTCGTTGGAACAGGACTTCCACTGTATAACTGGATATCCCAAATAAATCAAAGTCGTATATTTTTCCGTGGACTTGAGCGAATCTCTTTTATCCAAAAAGCCTAACCTGTCAAAGTTCTGATATTTTCTTCTTCCAGTCCTCGGCGTCTGCTTCCCGACAGATCAAGTCCAGAAGAGATTTCCATCATTGCAACCACAGAAGCGGAATGAATACGCTGAGGCGAACCCAGGGACATTTGTTCCTGGAGTCTCAGGAGTCTCAGACTTCCTGTCCCCCCGAGTCTCAGACTTCCTGCAGTCTCAGACTTCCTGCAGTCTCAGACTTCCTGCAGTCTCAGACTAGAGTCTCAAATTGAGACAGAGACAATGTTTCAATTTTGAACTCAGTTTCAGACATTTAAATTCTCTTTAGAAATCATTGTCAACTATGGTTTTAGCTCCGATTATGTCTATGTGGTCCTCGCCTTGTTTGGCCTTGGATTGAACAGTTGGCACAAGGAGGAGGCGAATATGATGAATCGCGCAGTAAAAGATACTCGAGAATATCATGATTTTTTGTTTGCAACTATTCAAGTTCTATAAGTCCTAGCGACATTCAGTTCGAGAATTGCTGAATTAGGCTGGAAGGTCAAAATAGAATTTTTTCTTCTCTTCTTATCAGTATTCTTATCAGTATGAGCTGGGGTTCGGAAGGTTGCATAGAGATATCTTTGGAATCCAGGGCTATCATGTGCGAATCATGTTTGGGCTCATTTGAATGGATCCCGACCAAACCTCGAATACCGTCATTTAGATGAATGAATGGGGGAAACCTGTAAAAGCGATTGTCGACCGGTCTAGTGAGATTACTTGAGATTACTGTAAGCAAAGCTTTTCTTTATTAATCATTTACTGTAGTTCTAAATGCAGCCATGATTGTGAATCCCATTTAGTGCCTAGCAGTTTAACCCCTTTCTGAGAAATATGACTTGGTGGTGAATGCTGATGGAATGGATGCTGTGGCGGCACAAGCAGCGAAAATTTCTTGGTGGTGAGTATAGCTTCAAAAATATAGCTTTTCTGATATTCAACCTTATACTTTGGCATCCAGAGCCAAATCCGATGTTCCAGATCGATCTTACAAATCAAGGCAAAGTCAACGGATCGACGACCCTCCGGTGGCGCCAATTGTCCGCGCCAATGTCCAGGCCCACCATTCTATTGTGCTACAACCGATTTTTGTTGAATGATCGAGCCCGAGCCTGGCAGGCTGAAACTTTGGGCTCATTTTGTGAATTTGCATAAATGTCCACATGAAATACAAATTTGAGCTGCTATCCCAGCGAAAGTGTCCAAATCGTATGATCATACAAGGTACCCCCGACTACTTTTCTATCCCAGTCAAAATGATTTTAGATGAGCAAAACCACAGAATTGCATTTCTGTTTGTCAGATTGCTTGGATGTTTTTGTTTTAACTTACAAACCTTACGAAACTGATCTAAAGTTCTTAATTCCTGCCAGTTCAGTCCAGGCCTGCCTGGCTCCCGGTAGAATCCCCCAGCCTGGCTTGCCTGGCTTACAAACCTCCGAAACTCCAGCACTCATTCACCCCACCTCTCAGATCAAGTTTCGTGCCCCTCAACTCTACAGTACCTTTATGTGGTACGTCTATTGTTTGAATGGCTCGCTTGCCTTGGATCCAGTCAAGGCTCGAGAAATCAATCAATTTTCAACCAAGTCCGGTCGACCAGTCCGCTTTTACAGGTTTTCCCTCCCCATTCATTCATCTAAATGACGAGTACCCTAGGGTGGTCAGGATCCATTCAATGACTCCAAACATATGACTCGGATTCCAAAGATGTATCTCTATGCAATCCACTCCTTCTGGAACCTCTTGTCCCAATACGCAAATTTCACCTGTGACTCCGAATTATGATTACACATTGTAGCTGTGATATCCAAAATTCTCAAGAATTGGATTTAAAACTTCAGATGGTTTTGTAGCTCTATGAGGATGCATCGAAAACCATTGGGCGTGGTACGAGGAAGACATTCAATAACACGCAACGCCGATTTGCGGGTTAGCTATAGGCGAGATCGATCCGTTGCTGATCTTTTTCGGTTTTGATGGCATAACGTCTGCATTCTTTGATTGGGCAAAGAGTGGAATGTACGTATTTGTGATCAGGGCATCAGTTCTTCTTCTTTTCGGCCCCTTACTCTTCTTATCAGTCCTGTTTTTTATTTTCAGGTTCGGAGAAAAATGATAAAGAGATTTTTGTCTAAAAACTATTATTACCTCAAGGCTAAGCCTAAAGGCTAAGCTAGAGCCAAAAGTTGAAAGTGTAGAGCCCGAGTTGACGGATCCAAAGATACCTCGTAAGGCAAAAGGCTCTAGCGGTCCCGAGCACTTGTCCGGTGTAAACGAGAGGTCATATTTTGGATCCCTGCTAGCTACCCAGTTTCAATTGTCGCGCTTTGAAGATGATTGATCTGCTGATCAGTCAGATTGGGGAAGTGTTTTTGATTTTGATGGTAACGGCCTTAGTGGTGCTATTCTTTTGTTGAAGGTCTCAAAGTGCTGCTGGGTCGAGACTCGGTGCAGTTTAATTAAATTGAACTCCCGGTCTTGTTTAGTTCAATTCCAGATTCAGATCAAAAAATCGAGACCAAAACATGCCAAACTGGCCTTTGTTCTATTCCATTCCATCAGTTCTATTCCATCAAACCCCGTCCTTCCGGGAGAAGCGTCGAGAACGAGAACGCCAGGACGCCGAATGGCAAATCCCGTCTCTTCTGCTGGAAAGACCTGGCAAAGCAAAAGAAGTCAATTTCTTGATTGGCTCCAATTCTAAACTCTTTCCAGAACGAAGAGAAGAGTCTGTATTTCCCTTCACTCTTCTCGTTCATCCAAATCCTCGACTTCAAAATTCTCCGTGAACAGCAAAAGTGGCTCAACAGATCTTGCCTATTTTACATGAATGGTGAGCTGAAATTTCAAAACTTTTCTTAGATTTCGTCGGAATGAGCCGGTTTCCGCGTACAAATACAGAACTCTGCCCAGATTGACCCATGAGGACTTTGCCGAGTTCAGGATGGTGAGAATCGGGTAGATGGTGCTAATAAATCACTCAAACAATTACTCACTCTTTTTTTTTCCTCAAAAACTACTCGATGACATCCAAAATTACAGCTCCGAAAGATGGAGCACGATCCGTGCACCGTTTCATCAGAATCTCTGCCTCGATCACGCGCTATTGATGTCCATTTTGAAATACGCAGCCACGGGAACGCTAGAGAGTACTGTAGCTCTTTGTTAAAGTCAATTCTCAGACTGTACTGACCTGACTGTACTGTGCTGACTGTACTGTACTGTACTGTACCTCTCAATACTGATTCCAGGATGTCATCCAGAAAGGATCAATCAATTTGGATGCTTTCTTTGCCCTGTCATTGATTCGAGATCTGATTGCGGGACTGCAATTCATCCAGAACTCGTTTCTTGTTTTCACGGAAATTTGTGGTTTTGTAACTCTTAGAATTCGAGAATGACATCCAGTTTAGTTATGCCAGCGATTCTACAGTCATTCCAGTACTCGGGAAGGTTATCATGTCAAGGTCGAGTTTTCATCACAGTGGATTTCTGACTCTGCTGGAGTTTTTCTGGAACCTTTTCTGTAACAGGGGATAACTCCTACAAAATCTGATCACTTTTTCCGCTGGTTTACCGAAGCTTTTTCCTCATCACTTTCTCATCAAAATTGTTTGTGGAACTAAACAAAACAAAAAGTGGGCAGTGAAGGGATTCGAACCCGGGCAAAAAGCCTAAACCACCTCGACCACTAGGTCATCAGAAAACATTTATTTTTTGAGGAGTTTTATAATTTTGTATACCCAATATCTCCCATTACAAGAAAAACTAACAGCAGAGCCAGGTCCGGATGAAAACTCGACCTTGACTTGACAACATTCCCTTCAAGTATGATATCCAGATTGGGCATTTCGGTTCTCAAGCTTGTTGGATCGACGAGAGATGGGTGTTGAAAGTGAGGCGGATTGGATGCACGACTTTTCGAAGAGGCGAGAAGATGGAGAGAAAAAGTGGGCTCAGTTTTGAGATTCAACCATCACATCCAGATTGGCTTTTCCAGTTTTCAAAGCAATCAAAAACGATTCTAGGACAACTCTGGCTAGCTCCAGAGCTTTTGCGACATCCCACAAGCCGGGGAACGAGAGAAGCCGATATCTATGCTTTCGCGATAATCTGTTCCGGAAGTCGTCACTAGGAAGATTCGTACGATTTGGATAATCGTGACGAAAAAGTCGAAGGTTTTGCGTATCCTGGAAAGCAGAAACCTTTTGAAATTTCAAGAAATCTTGGCACATGAATTAAACATTAGGTCGTCCACATGTACTGGTTCGTCCTGAAGCTAAACGTGAATGAAGAGAAATGGAGCTAAACCCAGCTATGGTAAGCTAGGAGGCAAATTATTGTGCAAAAGGTTTTTGGCTCCAAAGTTTCCAGCTATTGTTTTAGCCATTGTTTCTGGCTTCTTGTGAGCTCTGGTCGCCAGATGGCTCTTGTGCGTTCCAGATCGTTCAAGATCTCGAAAGAAAATTCCATTTAGCTTCATATGATCCGCGATTGTTGGTCCAAGGCCGATGGCGAAACCAACATCTCTACCGTAAACACAATCATCAAATCTATAGTAAATGACTTTCAATTTAAAGGGAAATCCTGAAAAGCTGAAAAGAGAAAAACCTTCACAAAGAAAAATCTTTAGAGTCAGGAAACAACAGGGTCAACAAAATTTGATGGATTCCGTTTTGGAGTTA